AGAACGTATTTGAGTGCATAAATATTCTCAGAATATTTCAAGTCTGTTAGCAATCCCTTTATTTGCGCATTTGCTGACATAAGCCCATGTTCCATTAATTGAAGTATAATTTTCGGGAAACTGCCTTGATATTGAGTCGCAGTGTTGCTTAGTGTTGGAGTAGGAGTCATTGAAGGAGCACTAGGCGGACTTGCCGCGGTAGTGGGGAGATTGGTTGTTGAGCTAGAACTCGAGCCAGCTTTGGAGAGAATTGAGCTTTCAGTTTCCTACAAAGTAGCATGTATGTGATAGTTAATAAATAAGCAAATGGAGTATTTTAGTATATGTTTGCTTTCCTATACCTCATATGCCATTTTGCAGAGTGGTCACTTCACTAGCACTTCTTTCGACGATTTTACTATTTATTCCTATTGGCTAAAAATTCGCTGTGTTATGTTATTTGCATGGTGCGACAAAGTCTGCATGCATGCGTTACATGACGAAAAATATTTCCGCGGATGTCGGATAAATAATTCTGTTATTGCTCTTCTGTCGTTCTTATTATTATTATTATTACTTGTAAAATTTCAGCCGTAACTCTATTCAATGCTTTCCCTTCGCATGATTGTCGTAGCGTCTTACCCCTGTGCATTATAGGAATTGAGTGTGCTACCATCTGTAGTACTGTAGTTCTATGGGTCGGTCGGACCATGAATGTATACGCAGTTTCCAGTAACAACTTTAACCGTGATCCCGTGTTCTCCTTTCAATTCGTTTATTACTAATGAATTAATCAGACTACAATAAACCATAGCCTCTTCTCTCTGTATTTAGTCTTTTGTTTATTTGCAGACGACCCGCTGATAGACAAAGGTATTTACAGGAAGGCCTTCACAAAATGTTTAGCACAGCGTGTAATGTAAATGGCAATTCTTTATTTTTCACACCAGTATAACCATGCTTTACATGATACAGCTTCGAGAAGTTCTCAAGATATCAACGATTCAATGACAATTACGGTTACGGGTATTGTTGATTACAGTCCTAATTGTATGATAAATATAAGCATTTGATTTGTAGACAACAATAAAAACGTCAACTGAGGAAATACAATATAAGACGGATATTGAATATACCGGCTACCGTATTGAATCATGCGTGGTTAACATTCTGTCTGAAGATGACATCATTATAGAATTATTCATTGACGTACTGCAGAATGTCAATGGTTCGAACTTTAACGCTATTTTAGTCAGGAGTCGATCTTTTTTGGGTGGGGTTGTTTATATTTGGAAGAAAAGTTAGGAACATAACTTGAAAATTAAAACATTGCCAACTGTGTACAAATGATTGATAGTAAGCGCCTTTGTCTTAATAGAACATAGGCCATATATTATTAACGCAAACATTGTTGATAAGCGAGCCGAGCTATAGCGTGCATGATATAATTATTATGTTATATTAGTATGAGGACAAATTTATTGTGTTAGATAACGGTCATGCAATGATCATGTAGCATTTAACGAGCTACGAATAAGCACACACACAAGTCTGGTGTCTACTTCTCAGCTTCAGCGAATACATAAAGCAAAAATATTATTATTGCAAAATAACCTTAAGATCTGTGTGCACCTTTTATTGGAATAACGCTGTATTATTGGACCAAGCACTATTCTTCTTCCTTATTTACTTGTAAATGTTTATTTCTCTATAACTAATCTATGATGATAAGTTAAACATTCGTTTTTATGTGATTGACAATTGCTTTGTTCGTTAAGTAATTATTTTACATAGTGACGATTAGTAGCAAGTTGATTCCGTGGAACACTTCTTCTATTTATATAAGAGGAAGGAATGTTGTATGAGAACTTTAATCTTCCCAATAGAAATTAACAGTTGTATCTTAGCCTTGGCATAGTAATAGGCAACAATAAGTAGGAATTAACATACGTGTCAAGTGATACATTAAATGTTATCAATGCTGTGTGCCGCCGACGAAACCGTCATCGCACATTTTCTGTTCAATTACTGTTTTGTGCATCATAAAATATGCAACAGTTGTGTGGTGTAGTAAGCTATGTTGACTTCACTATTTCTATTTTATTACAATAAACGATGCTTCATAGACAAAACAATAATACAATTAGAGGAGGTGAAGCTGCGAAAGAGATACAATTGACTACGCTCTATTCCGAATTTCATAGTTGCTACTATCTTTCCGGGAAATATAGATAATAGGTTTAGAATCTGAATGTTTACTACTTTTAGTCTGCTGACATTCTGTAAAAAAAAACTTAATCAGTCATTCTTCTTGAATTTCTTCCCTTTGTATTATATCTGGCTGTAGACACACAAAATTTATTTTTGACTTTTTCAATTTATTGTATGTTTGCGGCAGAAAACTTTGCCAGATGTTGACCCAAACTGGTATCGCTACGTGCTCGAATACAATGGATGCATCATGTTGCAGGTTAGCACCCAAATTTCCGCTTGTAGTAATACAAAGTCTTCTACAACAGCGTGTCAAAATACTTCTTACCAAGAATGTGTTAGCCGCGCGAATTTGTTAGATACCTTTTTTAGCCAAATGCTTCGATGAAGTTCCACACCATTCTCAGCCAATTTCGCAGCAATTGATTTTCCAGACATAGAAGAATCCCGACGAACATACTGACTGATTGCACGTGACACATTGGCAGTAATCCTTCTTGGTCTGCCATTGCCCCGTTTATGGTCGACACTCCCTTTTTCTCAAGCTTGTTTCTATTGTAATATATTGTACTCAATGGTATATGAGTAATTCAGAAGCATTACGTATCCCTTCGTTCCATAAATGTAATAGCGTTTGACGTTGTGTTTTTTTAGATGATGGTGACATTTTAACTTTAAATTAAAGGACGAACTCAAATCAAAAGTTTGCGAGCAAATGACAACAAAAACACGCTACAATTTGCATTTTTAATGACGCGATTTGGACTCAAATTGGTAAGTTACACATGTACGAAAAACTCGGAATGATTTTTTTTCTTCACGCCACGCTACACTGTATGTGTACCCCCCATCGGCTCCGATACAATAGATATCAAAATGATTTCGATATTTTAACGCCAAAAAGTTTGACAGCGGCTTGCAGAACGGATTAAATATGAATTCTCCATTACTTTTGATCTCATCAAATCGGGAAGCTTGACTTGCGATACGTTCCGCAATGTTACTATTTTCTCCATCGAAATATTTAAACTACTCGTTTATATATTCTGTATGAAATAGCACCTCAATTTAGAGGACACATTCCAATCAGTGCTACGTTCTTTTCTTTTACTCAGTCGAGCTTGGTTCTGGACAATCGTGCCATGGCTGTGGAGTAATCCTTGTACTTGTGTTCTCAGGGTCAACGCGCGCGTTTGGATGTATGCAACAACAGGATTTGTCTTTCGGATCACTACATAATGAAGACTCCTACTTTAACTCGGTTGGTTCATATCACATATCTGGAGGGGATTACTTGATGGCTGTGGTATCAGAAGCAACCGTGCCGATACTTTTCTCGATAAAGCACACTTATTTACGGAATCTCTTTTGCGTCATTGTTCACTTACAGCCATTAGAATCAAGAAACTTTCTATAACCCGATCTTATGAATCCGAGTTGTATTATTTGTTTAGAGCCAACCCTTCGCCATAACTGTCTTCACACTCGATCATCGCTCTGCTGGATATCATTAGCATTGAGAGGACAGAGGTTATTATCATTGGAGTTGAATATGTTGGAAAATCGGGAGAATCCATTACTACATTTAATCTTATTACAGTATAGAAGAGGATATTGTGAGAAGTGTACCACAAAGATTACCGTATTTAACGAATTTTATTTTGCCTGATCTTACTTCAGACATTGTAAAATTGGAAAGTCTCCTCGGAGATCGCGTGATGTTTCTTTGACTATGACTGTCTTTCACATTTCGTGCATGTTAACAGCGAAGACCACAGAAACGAAACGCATACTTGGTTAGACAAAAGTACGCTCTATCCAATATTGTAAGAGTGATAATTTCGTATGACGGAGCAGTTCTACTGTAAAATTACTTTCCCTACGATCGGGACGGATAGTCGCAAGCGGTCAGTTGAACACAGAAGATGGTTTCTCAACGATGATGCACTCGGTAACAAAACGAAATAACACGACAGAAGTTCAAACTGCTGAACGTTACGATTGTCCACGTCATATACCATTAGGTATTTGCATTGTTATATCTCCATCTCTTGCAGCACATGCATAGTATAATAATAACTTCCGATATTAAGAGCATTTGGTTTTAAACCTATATAGTAAACAGCAGGGATGTATAGCGCAGCTTGTACAAAGTACTGCAATCTTCGCCAAACGATAAACTGTAGGATTCGTAAGCAGGAATGGACAATCGGCTTTTCATTAGTAGCCGGTACTAGATGTACGAGCATACTACATTTTACAAGAAGATGGTGTCTTTTATCAAATACAAAGGGTATTAAAACTAAACCAAAACCACCTGACGTTTAAAAAGCTATCACCAACTTTTTTTCAATACATTGAAATTCACCTGATGACATTAAGTATGAAAATTGCCAATCACTGGAGCAGTTATATTAATAAGCCGAGCCCAAGGCAAAGTCTACATTTTCGGAGAAATTGATTTCAATTACCATTTTGTTTATGCATATCTCTCGTGTCTTGTACAATTTTATTACCACTGCAATGAATGAATATTAAGCTTAAGTATCAGGCACGTCTTTATCGTCAACCAGTTTGGTGACAAATCGTTCCAAAACCTTTCCCTACTGGTATCCTCTTACACGATCACATACCAACTCCAGAAGCAAAACGTTACCATGGGTCAGCAACGTTCTGTAATTATTTTTATGCAAGTGGATAGCTAACAAGTAGCTAAACATTTTATTCGAAGGTTACTACTGCATAACTATTAATATTGACAACTATAAACCCATCATTCATTATTTAATCTGACTGAACATCGTCCGACGCAAGTTTGTTGAGTTTTAGCAGACTTTGCAGAGTCTGATGCAGGTGTGTCGTAAGTGACATTTCTACGTCTTCCTTGGAAAGGGGAATTGATCCGAACTCTTCTACATCAATAAATGACGATTCGTTGCTTCTAATAGTTGCCGCCGACATCAGATCAGTCAATTCCGAGCCAGCTCTAGACACTGACCAGTT